AAGCTAAAGGCATGTTTTTCTATATATAGGGGGTTCCTCCCCCATTTTTGAGGGTTAGAAATTTTGGAACAAAAATATCTCTCTCTCTCTCTCTCTCTCTTGCAATTTTGTGTACACTTGCCTAGTTTCTCTACACTTTTGCATACACTTCCTTAACCAAATCCTCTCACCTTTGGATTGAGGTTCCTTAGGGCCTTCTTGGAGCTCTTGAATGTGGTTTTGGTTTGAATTTGCACCTAAAATTATTCTTTGCTTCAAGAGGTATAATACTAGTCTTTCAAGCATGTTTTGCATACTTGTTTTCCTATTTCTTTCCATTGTTTTTGGGCTATTTTTGAGTCATAAGAAGTTTGTTTTGTGGGCTAAAATTGGTGTTTTAGGCCATTAAAGGTTATGGGGGTGTCTCACCCTCCTTTATTCCTTGTGTCTAAGGCTTTTACACCTTTGTTTCCCACCTTCCAACCATCCTTTTTTGGGATTTTGACAGCTGAATTTCAAAGTATTTTCAGTGGTAAAAATCATGTTTTGAAGTCCAAAATAGGAGGGGCTAGCCTCCTCTCCTTGTGTCTTGTTTGCTAGCCTAGTTAGCTTTGTGTGTTAGCTTGATTTTCAAGCTTTTTGTAGCTTAATTCCAGCATGTTTTAGGCTATATTTAGGGTTGTTTCAACTCTATTTTGGGCTGGTTTTTGCCTTTGAGTCTTGTTTTGCATAGTTGTAGTGTAAGTCCTTTCACTAGCTTGGTGTTTTAAGGCTTTAACCATCATTGGTTTGAGTTGATTGCATGTTTTAGTGTTTTTCTCACCTAATTTCAGCACTTATAATATCTGCAATCTCCCTCACTTCTTCACTTTTTCATTTTCTTTGAGGGTTGTTTCAACCTTAGGGTTGTTTAAGCTTGAGATTAAGGGTCATGCTTAATAGTTTAATCCTCTTTTGGGGGTTCATTACCAACGGCATGACACCTCTCTCTTGCCTTAAACTACCCCTTGTTTGACCATTCATTCTCTTTAGAAAACTTCTCACCAATGGACTTAATTGGTTAAAGAATGGTTGGCAATCTAAAATGAGTAAACAAAAGTAAAAACTAAAAGTGTGCAAGATAAGGAATTGGTTTTGTTTTGATGTGTTCAATCGGACGTTAATTGAACACAAGGAGAATTGAGACATTTCATACTCAAAAGTGATGAAATGTGTCAAGTTTCCTAGGTCTCCATTGCCCCTGATCATGCATGATAGGATGATGGTCATTTTGGTCTTGTTTGTGTATTTATTGAACTTGTACAACTTGGTTCTTTGGCCATCATGCAATGAAATTGCCTGGTTGATGGTTTGAGAGCCAAGTGTATCACTCCTTTGAGCTTGTTTCAATGACAAGGAGAGATATATAGTACAAACAGCCCTTGAGAAATACACTATTTTGCTCTATTTGCTCTCTGTTGCAGTAAGGAAGTTCAGGTTATTAGTGGCCGACAGCCATCACCAGTAGCCGACCGGCCACCATTGGTAGCCAACCGGCACCCTGTTGGCCATTCGTGAATGTTGAGCAGTGTGTTGGTAAGGTGGAGGAGAGGTATTCTGGAAGTGGGCAACATTGTTAGTGTTCAAATGTGCAAACAGAGGCTTGCAGCAGCAAAATGGTGGCTTTTCGGGTAGAAATCGAGCACGTGCATGTGCCTCCCTTGCATTCCAAGCTTATTTAACATTTAAATATCTAGCTTAAATATGTGTTGTAATTAGTTAGTTGTAGCTGATTAAGAGTTGTAATTAATTAGTTAGCTTAACTAGTTATTCGATTTCATTTTGTAATTAGTTAACTAGAATAGTTAATTAATTCGAGTTTTGTAATAATTAGTTAGCTTAATTAGCGTAGCTAGTTGGTTAGCTTATTCATTCGGACTCTCCTTTGTGAGAGCACAATGTAATACTACCCCACGTCTTTCTCCCTTTTATTAATCCGTTTTTTATAGTTAGATTAGAGACATGTTTCAATTAGCATACCTTATGCTTGCATCCATTCATTCGTATTGCATGCACCGAGGCTCGGCACATCATTCAAACTACATTGTCATTTCAATACTTCGTTGAATACATGTTTAACCGAATGTTATCAAATTGATTCATATGCCATCTTACTAGCCGAGCCAAGTAATTGCCTTATTCATTCGAACTCTCCTTTGTGAGAGCACAATGTAATACTACCGCACGTCTTTCTCCCTTTTATTAATCCGTTTTTTATAGTTAGATTAGAGACATGTATCAATTAGCATACCTTATGCTTGCATCCATTCATTCGTATTGCATGCACCGAGGCTCGGCACATCATTCAAACTACATTGTCATTTCAATACTTCGTTGAATACATGTTTAACCGAATGTTATCAAATTGATTCATATGCCATCTTACTAGCCGAGCCAAGTAATTGCATGTCACATGTGTTGCATTAGACATTTGGCATAGTTAGGAATCATGCATTTTTTCTAACTCATTTTGTTTATTTTGGCTTGGAGTACTAAGTGAGTTTTTAGTGCTTTAGCATACTTGCATGAGTGTGAGTGATTACCATGTCTAGCATTCTTGACATGAGGCTAAGTGCTTATTTGTTAAAATGTTTTAATGCTTGTGGATGAACACTTGTTGCTTGAATTGGAACAATTCAACGAATGTGTGTATAAGCCCACTATGTCTAGTGGCAAATTCACAGTTTTAAGCCCACTTTGTTGAGTGGCAAATTTGCAAGTTTTAAGCCCACTTGAGGTGGCAAATTCAAACCCTTTTCACAAAACAAACATGAAATTAAATTGTTCTAGTTCTTGCAATTTTAGTCTACACTTGCTTGTGCACTTCACATTGTAAAGCTAGCCTAATAACCGGAATAATAACACATAATGTTGACAAAAATTCTATCATGATTAGTAGAGGCCGATTTTTGATCGGGCGAGCGGGGGTGCTCAATTCATGACCTTCCCCTCTCGTACCTAAGTTCCCAAACCGAGACAACTTTGGTGATGACAAACACATGGCCTTTGGCACGAGTCAGGGTTTCCTAAATTTCTCCCAAAAGAAAAAATATTTAGGTGGTGACTCTATATCTGGCAAAACAGTCCAATTTTGGCATTATTTGATTTAAAATCGATTTTCCAAAAATAATTTGTCAGTTTTGGACTATTTGGTGTTTATCAGTTTCACATTGCACTTGTGAGATTAGATTCAGAACCACGGGAGTCCGAACTATAGGGATTATTTTTGAAGTTAAGAAAAGGGGCGCAAAAAAATGGAGCTGCAGTTTCTGGCGACTTTGCTGGGGATTTACAGAACTTTACTCGAACTCATGATATGAACTTTTATCTACACTTATGTGTTTCTTTGCATTTACATTTGTATTGGTGCACCTAAGTCACTATGTTTACGATCTGCTATTCCTGAACGGTTTGCCGGAGGCTTGCTTGGAAAAAGCTTGCCAAAAGGCTAACCGATTGCGGTCTCTGCCACGATAGGAACACAACTCTTGGATCTGGACTACCGCTGTACCGTTTGATCCTCCTTTCACTTCTCGGTGTTAGGTGTGAGAGGTATATTAGGTAGTCTTGCTGAGGTACCCTTTTTTGACCAATTGGCCTAGTTGTATGTCAAATGCCATAAAGACTGTTCCAAACTAGGACAGGTTGCTTACCCAAATTCAGGATTGTGTGAAACACTTTGCTTGAATAGTGAACCCTAGTTCCTGACGAAACTAGGACAGGGTAACCCTATCCCATCATAGGGGTGTTTTGGCTCTCACTTAACTGGTATGTGCTTTTTGAGTGAAACTCTACAGGAACGTACCTATCAGTTGCAAGTCTAGGTATCAGTTTTTGAAGGCAAAATTCGGTGTTAAGCATAGTCCTACAGTTTTTTATTACATCAGTATATTTATTAAAATCTAAACTGAGGTGCTGTGCGGTTTCTAATTTTTGTTTTCCCTTTTGATTTATTTCTTTTTGCAAGGTAGTTTTTCACAATTGCTTCAGACAGTTCGGATACCCCCTAAGCACTCTGGACCCGTATAAGGAGAATTTACAGATCCGGGGATCTTGTTGGAGGACAGCCAGTGTTTGCTTCACTCCCACCGGTTACGAGACAAAGGAGGGTTAGGCATAATTCACCAATCCAGCAGTTACCTTTTACTTCATTTGTGCATAGTCCTATTCGATCTTCTATTTCCACTCTAGCAAGAGATCACTCGCCCACTCAATTGGCTCAATACCCAACCGGTATGGAAGATTTGATCCGTCATCTCTAGCAAACCATTGAAACTATGCAGCAAGATGCTACCTGCCAAGCTAAAGTTACAACCCAACAAGCTAAAGTAATAAATAGGCTGCAGCAACAGCAACAGCAACCACAACAAGCAGCAGCTTCTGCTTCCCATGCACCTCCTATAGGTATTCCGGCACCCGGAGTCGCTGTTAATGTCCAAGAAAATCTGGGCATTCCAGTAGATCTAATTCCACCCCAAGCCTCTAAGACACCGTTTTACCAAACGGAGGCTTCCTTTGAATTCAAGGTCGACCCTACTGCAATTAAAGTCAACAAGGTAGAAAAGCTTCTTAAGTGGGCACAGGGTGTTACTTCAATACCTAACATCGAGGATGGCTATACTAGCTCGGCAGTAACCTTGCCAGATAGGTTCAAGATGCTACATATCGACTGCTTCGATGGCTCGAGTGATCCCATGGACCATTTGCGGTTATTCTCTGACATCCTACGACCAATGGGACTTTCTAGACTCCAAAAGCTATCGCTTTCTGGCTGAACCTTGTCAAGGATAGCGGCTATTTGGTATGCAAAATTGGAAGACTCTGTGAAACGGAGCTGGGAGGAAATGGCTGAGGCCTTTGTCGCACAATATTCATACAACACACAGATCGAGGTCACCACTCGTGATCTTGAAGCAACCCGTCAGGAGCTAAATGAGGGCTTCTCGAATTTTCTGGCAAGGTGGAGGGCCAAGGCTTCGATGATGACTACCCGGCCATCCGAGAAAGATCAAATTAGAATGATAGTCCGCAACCTGCAGGGGAGATTGCTACAGAAGATGATTATCTTACCCTTGTTCATATTTGCTGATCTCCATGAGATAGGAGTTCATATTGAAGATGCAATGAGACAGGGGTTGATAAATGATGAGAAGAAGCAGCCCAAGAGGCTTTTCACACGCAGTTCCAATGCAACCACTACTGGTAATGCAGCTGCACAACCTTCGGATATGAGTATGGTCACCACCACACCCAAGACCACCAACCTTTTTGCTGGTACATCCAACACAACTCCACAAACCTCGAGCCACCAAGCCCAAAACCAAAGGGTCTTCACCCCGCTTTACATGTCCTTATCTAAAGTCATGGGTGTATTGATCAAAAAGGGGCATCTTAAGCTACTAGAGCCTCGCCCTTTACTCGATCCTCTCCCTCTGAAACACAACTCGGCCTTTTCACCAGCAACATGGTCATGACACTGATAAATGCTATAGGCTACGATAAGATTCAAGATCTCATCAACAGTAAGGTGGTAGCACCTCTCCAAAAACCCAACGTCACTACAAATCCTCTCCGACCACATAATCAAGTCCCTCCACCCCAGCATGTAAACCTCATCCATACACTGGTCGTCCCTTATGACCCTAGTATATATATCACTCCTTCTCACCTACCTAAACCTGCGTTGTTCATCTGTGAGAACACGGACTTGTGCATGGTGGACACGTCTACACTCTAACCCGAACCCGTGGTGGTGACAATGGTAGATGAAAGGAGGTTGGCCTTGGTGGAAAATGTCAATCCGCTTGAAAATGCAAAAATGGAGGTTTGAAAGAGAGAGAAAGTTTGAGAGACGAGGGAAATTATGGATTACAAAAGTGAAAAGATGGAGAGAGAAGAAAGAGTTTTGTCAAATATACGACAAGGCGACAAAACATAATGAGGTGTAGACACCCCATTTTTTACCGCCCTTAAGACTTGGGCACCACTGATGTTTTGCTTGGCGGAGAAAGGTGTGCAGGGCAAATGTTCAGTTTCTTTGGCAAGGAGAGAGGCAAATCCTTCAAAGCACTTTGTTTAGGGGTTTGGAGTTGAAGAAGAGAGGAAAGGAGAGGAGAAAACTAGTTTGGGAAAAGTTCGGCATGAATCCGGGTAGAAGCGAGTTGAGCAGCCCTCGCTGAATCGGGCTTATCTATCTGTACACTTGGAGTTTAGCTATGAGACCACCACCGTCGGAAATCTTACTTCCGGGGCTTCATTTTGCACTCAAGAATCTCTTAAAGCCAAGTCCGGGTGGGGGAGATATGATTAGCTGAAGTTGCGAATCATCCCGGTTGGATCGAATCTGCGCGGCTTCACCAAAATGGGCATAACTTTTTCCACACGAGGAATTTTAATGCAAGGTTTGCGCCATTGGAAAGCTAACTTCCGGGGCTTCAATTTGGACACCCACCGGCCATTTTTTGACCTTGGCACACCTACCAGGCAATCTATTTATCCGGCCGGAAATTTATTGTGCGACCGGCACTTTATATGCTGACCGGCCATTTTTGCTGGCCGACGACTTCCGGAGCATTCTGCAGATTGAGTGTATGCCAGCTGTGCCAGCTGGAGGGCAAAACTGGATCCTCCATACACGTGTATGGAGGATATGCACCCTTGTTTAGCTTCCTCAAGAAGCTTTATACTTTGTTTTGCTTATAAAGGAAGCTCTCCTCTTCCTTATACTAGGTTAGAAGAAAACCAGCTGGAGCATTACATACAATCCTCCATATATCTCATCCAAGCCTCCAAACCCTAAAATCCTTGCTCCATTTGCACTACACCCTATAGAAACACCCACCACTATCCATTTCCAGCAGCTGGAGGCTGTTCTTCAAAGCCTAAGGAGCCACAAACTCAAGCCAAGAAGTCATCAAAGTTTGGTCTTCAAGGTGAGCAGCATTCCTCTCTTTTGAGTTTTTTCTTGTATCATTTCTTAGCCATATTTCTTACTGTTTTGGGCTCCGACCCTAACTGAAGTTAAGCTTATTTTGAGTCATTTTTCATGTTTCATTAAGGGCTCAACACTGTTTGAGCCCCCCTCTTGCACTTGCTTCATTGTCCTTCTTAAATGCCATAATCTTGCATGTATTTTTTGGCCTGTGTATGATCTGTTTTGGAGCATTGATGTAAACTGTAAATAGGCTTATTTAGCCCCTCTTCAACATTGAAGAAGGGCTCAACTGTTTGGGACCTCCATGCTATACTTGCCTTTATATTCTCTTTTGGGTCCCATTTTTGCATGCCTTGGCAGCCCCTGATGTTTGCTTTTTTGGACTTTGGTCCAAACTAAAAACAGCCATATTTTGACCCCTTGTCATGTTTCATTAAGGGTCTTTGGCTGTTTGATGAATGTTTTGTATGCTGTCTTCTTGGCCGCCTTTTGGCCCATTTCTTGCATAAAGCTTACCATACCTATGTTTGTTTTTGGGGTTTTATAGTTCTGTAAATGTGCATAT